ATTTACAAAATATCTTCATGGAACATGATCTTTACTTAATATCCTAATGATTTTTGGCATAAAAGAAAAATCAATAATTTTGACCCATACAATGTATTTTTGGCTATTGCTACAAATATACCTCAGCGACTTAAGACTGGTTTTGTGCTCCAGGGTCACATATATTCAAGACAACACTTACTCAGAAACTTCCTCTTGTTCTCTTCAGAGAGCTCAGATAAAACAGTCCAGAAGTTCTTGATGAGCTCATCAGAGGCAGAGCACTTTTCATAGGAAGCACACTGAAGACGAAGAAAAACTCAGGTACTGTGAAATATTTAAAACGTCAAAAATTGGCAAGTTTCTTGAAGACGTTTACCTGCTGAAGCTCCTTCCACTCGTATTTAGGGGAGCCGTGGAGAAGCTCCTGGAGTTCCTCAGGGTGGAACATGCTCCAGGCATCGAACGGACAGCCCTTAAAGAAACCTTCTGAAAAATGCTCGAACTGACTGTTTACTGACTTGTTGAAAACGAAGTCGACATACAAATCCACATATTTCTGTCTGCAAATGAAATGAAACTTTGCAATGAAACATAAGGAAATCCAGCACTGCAAAAACAGGGAACATATACACAGCATCTATAGGCTAAATTCTCTGTTTTATGCTGTCTTTTCATGTAATATCCATTCAGAAGTAATGGCTAATTCATTGAAGTATTTTTCAGTTTTTCTCAGTCACTTTGGTACAGTTCTTGAATCATTCTTAATATCGGCAAACCAATATGTGCATTTTTTAAAACAATTTGTACAAACAGTACAATACAATGGATTACTTTCGAAAGCCTGCAACAATTAATTCAATTCAGAACACATTCACAAAAAAAAGTATAATAGAAATGTATGAATAATATGACCGATTATGACAACTAGCTTAACCATTTTGCATTGAAAGGCTTAAGCAATGAACTAATGATTAGATGTTTGGGGGGTAAGACTATTCAACAGAGAACCAGTATAAAATATTTTGATCAACATATAAGCAACTGTAGGAAACTGCAGACAATTGTACATAATCAATTGCCTGAACATACAAAATCATTCGCAACTTGAATGAGAAATTGCTTCTGATGTGCACAAGTGACTACATGATGTAGAGGTTGAACGATAGATAGATAGATAGATAGATAGATAGATAGATAGATAGCCAATTACATGTAGAGCAAACAGATTCTACCTATTAGCTCTGGTCACTGGAATCTGATTTCCATTTGGAATGAGCTCATGCCCTTTGACCTGAAGGAGGTAAATAACAGCACAAAGTAAGTTTTAAAATAACAGTTGTGTACAATTATACAAGTGAACCACAGAAACTGTATTACCGTGAAATCCAAAAAGAGCATATCCACTACCTCGTCCTCATCCTCCTCAAGAAGGCTTTTCAGACTTCTAATGAGATTTTTGAAATACAATTATAAATATGACTTGCTCTGAAACACTAATGTGAAGCCTACAGTGTAAAAAGTCTAATGGCTAGTAGTCTTTAATCGTTTACCTGGCCTCCACAGGAGATAGTTCCTCCAGATCATTCAGAGTGGGACTCTGCTGGAGGAGTTTCTTGAACAAGGCCAGTGGGAAGCCAATGTTTATATAATGATGGTTGTAGAGCGCCATTCCACAGATAACGCCAAGATAGTAAAAATCTCTCTTAGCTTGCATGCCCTGAAAAGACACAAGCATCACAGCACATGTATGTGATATATGAGAAAGACCACATTAGAAAGAACAAGGAATGTTTGGTGTAAAACTTACATCAGGATTGAACCAAACCAGTGAACTCTCATGGACTTCAAGCACCTTCTTCTCCCATTTCAGAAGATACTGGGAAAGGAGGGAGAAGAATTCTGCCGATAAACCCCTCATATCTCTTCCATTCTCCCCAATGAACGTCACCTGGACAGGAGACATTTTTACCAAAAATTAAAAATCATAAACCGAGGCCTTACAGTATGGTAAAATGGCATATCAGATGTTTCAAATGGTCAACTTTTGAATTTTAGTGCTACTGAATTTACCTCCAATCGATGGGAAAATGAGTGGATGTTTTGTCTGAGATACTCAAGTGTGTCCGTCAACAATGATTCCCTGTTTATGCGCAGCATGTTGGTATTGTCATTATATATGTCAGGAACGCTCTGTATCCATTCGTCCCGCAGGTACTTAAAAAAGTACAATAATGTTAGCTGGGTATTTGCATACAATGATTACATTCACGGGGTGTTTACACGACACTGTTTTCTAAAACTAAAAAGCGTTTTGGCCGTTCATTTATACGACAACAGCATTTTGGGGGTCTGAAAATGCAAACTTTTGAGAACAGGTTTCTAAGTGCCAGTTTTTGAAAACAATATCGTCTCTGTGTAAACTGCAAAAACGTGAATTTGTGAAAACTGTGACGTCATGCGCATGCGTATTATGTGATCCGTCTCAGATCTCAGATCTGTGTGAAAGAAGATCGTTTTGCCAATGTTGCTGTTTTTTTTTAAACTCCATGGAAAAACTTCTCAGTTTTTAGTACATCATTGTCGTGTAAACATGCCCTCAGATTAGCATGGCATATGTCACTTACACGAAACATTCTACATTTAGATGCAGTATCAGCCGCAAAAGGGAACTTGAATAATATTTTAATAGTTCTCTGAAAGAAAGATGCATGGGAGAAATATAGGGTTTCTTATAGTTATTAAACAAAAAACATTAACAGTTCATGCAAATATTCATATGTATCATGTTAGAAGCCTTCAATACGCACAATGTAGTAACTTTTCAAATCTATATCATAGAAATCAATGCACTCTTCCAGGTATTCCATGGTGGCTTGCAGCTATTGATGTAGAAAAAGAGAATTTTCTTGTATTTAGTATTCCTCAAAGAAAAAAATTCTGTGCAGCAGAATTCACTATTGCTTTGGTTCTTACCGTGTCTAGTAGATCACTGATCTCATGAATGATGAAATCCCTGTTTGGGATGTCTCTGTTGGCACTGCAGCAGACCTTCACAACAAAGTATAAGCAACTATTATACAATGATAGATTAAAATACATATTTGATCCAGTGTTTAAAAAAGGCACCTGATAGATCATCTGAAGGATCTTCAAAAACTTCTCCAAGTGTTGTATATCCTGATTCATTTTACCACGAGAAATCTGGCCAATCAGCTCAGCAGATGCTTTACGAAATAACTTCACCAGGCTTTTGAGCCAATCATCAGGGAGTTTGGACCAGTACTTCTCTGAGAATATAACATACAAATACTTAGACAAATACAACAAAGCCAAAAACACAAGTCAAAGTCTGAAAGTTCTCCCAGCTTTACCTAACACCTTGTGAGCATCAGGATCCAGCTGAAGGATTTTGGAGGCCAGAGCTTCAGTGAGTTCAGTTCTTCGTTGTTTCTGGAGACGTCTGATGAGCTCAGGGAGGAGAATGTAAAGTCTCAGCGATTCCTCACCAACTGGATATGGATTCAGAGATCGCAGCATCTGTTCAACCACCTTCACTACCTGAGATACACAAATTAAAGGAATTTCAGGTTGTATACAGTTTAGTTCCCTCAGTTTGTGAAAGTAAACAAAAAAAGTAAATATAGATGCTACACAGATGATAGAAAATCCCTTTAAGTCATATTAAATGTTATTGCATCTTTTTATGTTAAACAAACTGAATATTTTGGATTTACTATTACCTTCGATATCACCTTTTCATTCCCTAATAACTTTGAAAAAGCTTTTTCAGCCAGCTCAAAATCCTGTTCATCATGACTGCAAAAACAAAAACGTACATAAATGTTTGTGATGCTTTCAGCAGATTCGTTTTGGCTTCAAAAATTGCTAGACATATCTACTTCTGAATTACCTTGCTTTGAGAAAACTTCCATTCAAACAGGCAGCAGAGGAGAACACTTTTGTTATTTCCCTGTAAATATAGTCCATTTATATGCATTACCTTACCATATATAAATTACAGGCCACATAAATACTAGTAAGACTTCTAACATACTCTACTTATAAGTCAAGTCTATTTGCTGAATCCTTCAGCAAAACTCAGACAAGAACTGACAAACAATATTTTCTTAATTACACATAAATGAAAACAGAAGCTCTGTCTATAGAACTGAGTCAAACACTCACCTCTTTATCGTTACCCATGAGTCTCTTTCAGACACCCAGCGGTCAATCATTCTCTCATTTAATGTCACAATCCCTCTACTAAGATTGGGCTTAGACATTGCAGACTCATTCCCAAGTTCCTACAGAAAACAAAAAAAAACACAAGTAATCACAGTGCAGCAATAATTTAAATAATTTATGAATGAAAACTGCCATGTCTTACTTTGAAAAACAAGGCAAAGGAATGATTCTCCCCAGCAACGAGTTTTTCAATCGCATATTCTTGATTACATTCTGTGTGCAACAAATACTTAATTTAGATCTCTGAGCATCATCATGAATATTATAAAAATATCGATGATAATAAAATGGACCATTGCTATAAAATTATTTTTAATTACTAGTTGACAGATCCACAGGGAAAGGCACAAACTTCTTGATCATTTTGCCATTTCCCAACTTCCCTTGGATCCAACATCCAAACGAGTAGATCAGCTTTGACGATGTGATTGATACGAGTGTGTGATGTCTTGAAAAAAGAATCAAATGCCTAATTACTGAGCAGAACTCAAACAGCAGACATGTTAAACATGTGAGGAATTTTGTATGAGAGCTAAAGACGTAGCACAGTGCATAAAAAATCTGTACTATTGCTGATTACTAACAAAGCTTATGAACTAATGTCTTTACCTCCCACATGTGACCTGTGACACTTCAGATCCCCACAGTTCAGCAACCACCCGCGGATGATGTTCATCTCTAAATGAGTTGTGCCCAAGCTGACCAGAACCTCCGGATCCAAATGTGAACACTGTGCCGCCCTGAAACATGAAACATTTACTACTTATTTTCTGTCCAGCTTGCTTTTATGCTAAATACAGCTTAAAATCTATAATATATTACGACCATAGTACCTTTGATAAAGTGGCAGTGTGTTCCCCTCCACATGAGATGGACACAGTTTTCTTCCGGTTAAGACTATTTACAACCGTTGGGACGTGTCTGTCTGTGGTAGAAAAACAGTACATTTGTCACTTCTAAATACATCATATTCATGCTTTGATACAGATTTGACAAAGTATTGCACAAATTTAGTACATTTATATGTAGTGTTATACTGTTACACAGTAGATTTGTCCATAATGAGAACATTTCCTCCATTAGCAAGAAGAACGGCACCATCTCCTCCACAGACAATCAGTCTGATTTTGTTATTCTTTAACTGTAGTTCCTCTGTAGTAAATAAATTATTTTCATCAGTTCAACTTCTCTTAAAAATAATAATAATAAGACTATAAAAATAAACAAACATACTTTCATTATGATGTCATTAATAAACATACAGTATCAGTAGATCATGTACTCTCAAATATAAATATATGGCATTTATCTTACATTTATAACTTTCAGTTATGACATAATGTGTCATTAGTGCATCATACTTAGTTTTCCATCATGATCATAGTCTTCACTGCGCAATCTTAGGACCGAGACATTCCCATCCCGGATAAATCCAGCAAAACTCCTTCCAGCTGACACGTGCTGAACTGCTGTTTTCGGACACACAGATCGTATTCCACTTTCGCCATGTTTGACTTGGTCAGGCTTTACCAGCCCCAAACCCTCTCTGACCTGCGCTCCCCAAAAACACAACATGACCACAGCTGATGCACGAGAAGATCAGACTCCAGAAGAGTCTCTCTTCTCTCTTCCTTCCTTGACTGATGAACACACTCATGTTAAATTGCAAACACGAAAGTTAAACAGGAAAGGCTGGTTTCAGGCTAAACGATACGTACTTATTCGACTTCCCACAAAATGAAAGTATTGAATCTTCTATATCTATTGTTTTTAACACCGAGTGAAAGAAAAAGTTTTAGATGTGGAATAGGACAACCTGTCTACAATGACTTTCAGTTTTTCCACAGAACATAAAGGTGATGTTAGGTAAAATACCAGGGAATGGAAACTCGGAAGTCACAATTCAAATCCATGTTTTCCATACAAAAGCGTGAATGGTGACCGTGTCTGTCATTCTGCATAACATGACATCCCTCTTCAAGCTTTTTATGCCAATAGTTCTCTGTATGATTCTATTCAGATAAATATTTAATCGCTATGAGACATTTTATAAAGGCAAGTAAAACACAAACAATATCCACAAGCACCTGAGTTTAGAACGCCTACTACTACAGTTTCGCTAAACTCATTGGTTTAGATCCATGTCAATCACATTAGTCTGGCCAATCAACTGATTGAACCCCACCGACGAAACGGAGGGATCTGATTGGCTCACATGTATCTTCCTTCATAGGCGGATTGTGTGCAGCTAAAAAAAAAAACGACGCTAAGAAGAAACGACCTACTGTACGATATTACGTATATATTAACCCGTTACGTTAAACAAATACATACCAGATATAATTGTTATCATACAAATTAAAGGTAAGTAGCAAATCAAGTCTGGAAATTATACAATATTCGCGTTTTGCTGTTGCGAAAATCCGTTTGCTAGCAGCGCCAGCTCCGAAAGCTCGAGGATTCATCTCCATTTTTCTTGCTGTGATGAATGTTTACGCTCAACAATCCGCTTATTCCATAATTTATATCTGCTTCAGCTATTTTGCGTTATCATTTTTGTTTAAAGCTTGAATAAAGAGTGGTTTGAAGGTTTTGCTAGCATGTTGTTATATAAGCGGAGTGTTGCGTCATGTTTATTTACCCTCTATTCATATTTAACTTGTTGTTTCTTCGCCCATGTATCTATAATTTGGTTATTCCCATTAGAAATGACTGTATTGATGTTGTTTTTGCAGGTTATGTGTTTATAATGTATGAATTAAATAGGGGGTGGGGCACAGTTGTAGTGTTACTTAATGCCTCCATTGGGACAGGCAGTAAACACGCTGTTTAGTGTTTAAACAAAGACTGTCTTATAACCTAACCAGCTGACTACCTATGCAGCATTTTTAGGCATGTATTATATACATGTGTCTCATGTTTTTAATTAGTGACTTCAGTGGGAGGGCTGTAAGCATATTATTAGTGTTCAAACAAAGGGTTTGTTTTAAAACCCAGTGAGCTGACTACCTAAGTAGCTATTTTTGGAAATCATAGGTGACTAAAACGTGCTGTCTGTGTAGGCATCTCGCTACGTTTTGAGACAGCTGAAAGCTACGTGCTTCATGTTGCATAGTATGTACACTCTAGGGATTAACAAGCCTCAGGGCAAGTCATTAATTTGTTCTTTTCCTTGTTTTTCAGAGAACTCCTGGTCAAGACTGGATATCTACAAAGACCAGTGTACCTACGTTCTGCACTGATTTTTGAAGCATATTTAAGGGCCATTTGTTTCAGACTCTTACTGCCTGTTCAGAAAGTTTGGTGTCCTGCCACTGAGTATGTCAGTGGCTCTTCTCGTGCGATATGCCACGCTCTGCGGATCCCGTGTCTGCTGCAGGGCTGCCCTCGGCCTAACTGGCATCCACCAGGAAGACCTGAAACGGGCTCTACACACGCCATCATCTCCTCGTTGCAGCAACTCTCGCTTTGATCCGGACAGCAGTGGCCTTCCAACTACCTGGGACTCCTTTGGTATCTGGGACAACCGCATTGATGAGCCCATCTTGCTTCCGTCGAGCATCCGATATGGTAAACCCATTCCCAAAGTTAGCCTAGCCAAGGTGGGCTGCGCATTGCAGATTGGCCAGCGGAAGGTGAACGAAGACCGCTATCAGCTATCGCAGATGACGGACAACATCATGTACTTTGCAGTGTTTGATGGGCACGGAGGTGCAGAGGCTGCTGAATTCTGCCACAGAAACATGGAGAAGCATATTAAGTAAGGATCAGTGGTTCTAAAGGAATAGTTCAACTACAGTGGTGGCCAAAATTATTAGAGCACTAGTATTTTCACCAGCTAAAGAAATGGTTTTAAGTCAGTTAGTTTGTCAGTAGGAAATATCAGTTTACATTTCTAAACATTCATTTTGCCTACTGACACACTACAGCAAAAGATAGAAATAACTGACTTAAAACCATTTTTAGCTGGTGAAAATACTAGTGTTCTAATAATTTTGGTCACCACTGTAAAAATAAAAATTTGGTGAGATTTTACTCGCCCTTAGGCCATTCAAGATGTAGAGGAGTTCGTTTCTTTATCAGAACAGATTTGGAGAAATTCAGCATTACATCATTTGCTCACCAGTGGATCCTCTGCAGTGAATGGGTGCCGTCAGAGCGACAGTTGAAACAGCTGATAAAAACATCACAATAATCCACATGACTCCAGTTCATCAGTTAATGTCTTGTGAAATGAAAAGCTCCATGCAGAAAAGTGAATGGTGAAACAAATTTATTTTCATCTCACATCAAAACCCACCAGTATATTTCTCTCCTGATTCAGAAAGTTTTCATCTTTATAAAGCAATATTATTAATATTATAAGTTAAGAATGTCTTGATGTAAACACACAGATTTTTGCTTCAAGTTTTTAATTGATGGACTGGAGTCGTGTGGGTTACTTGTGGATTATTGTGATGTTTTTATCAGCTGTTTTGACTCTAATTCTGACGGCACCAATTCACTGCGGGGGATCCATTGGTGAGCAAGTGATGTAATGCAAAATTTCTCCAAAACTGTTTAGATGAAGAAACAAAATTTTCATCAAGTTTAATTTTTGGGTGAAATATTTAATTAGTGGGCTTGTATTTAATTTTTTTTATATCTCTGTTTTCTGAATTTTGCAAGAATATGCAAGATGTTTCATATATAACAAATGCTCATGATTTTACTCACGTAGAGCTTTGTCGTGACGCAAGCTCTGTATTTACTAACATGAGACTAGTTCTTTAAACCATTCCATTATGGGCTTCTGAATCGGGGCATGTGGTGTTTCAGAATAACTAACATTTTTGCATTTTTTATTTGTGTTTCAGAGACATTGCAGAAGAGGAGAATAACTTGGAATTAGTATTAACCAAAGCGTTTCTTGAGGTGGACAAAGCGTTAGCAAGGCATCTTCACTTCAGTGCAGATGGTAGGTCCTATTTTACTGATTTATTTGTTTTTTAAGCATGCTTAGTCTCTCAGCTGTTGTTTTAGAGTCTTAAATAAGTATTGCTTTGATGCATCAGGTAAACATGTAACAGAGCCAAATGGACATTTATGAACAGAACATGACAATGCAGACTAAATGCATGATTTTGACAGTGATCGCTTATACAGAGCAGTGAAGACCTTTATAATCTTGTCATAATTATTCACAGATTTCTCTTTGGCTCTGTAAAATGCATCCATCCCAACAACATAGATAGCACTTACATGCTTGTGTATACTAGGGGTGGGTTAAAAAATTATTCCTAGATGCATCAGTATTTTTACAATGCAAATAATTAGCAAACCTTTTATTATAAAAATAAATACATAAATGGCAGATATTTATATATATATATATATATATATATATATATATATATATATTCAGACCCCCTTAAATTTTTCACTCTTTGTT